CATGTCCGGTGGCAAATCGAGAAACCAAGCAAAGTTTGGTTGAAGTAAATAAGTATTTTAAAAGGATGTTGTTCTGTACCGTCCCGTGACAGTTGAGACTACAAACGAATCACTTATTTCATGCCTGTGAGGGAGAGAGCGAGAGAGACCTACCAAAGAAGATGTTTAAAGCCAGTGTCCTCAGATTACTAGCGGCATTTACTTAATGCACCCACCAAGAAGGAAAGGAAAGGAGAAATACTTCAAATTGCACCACGTCAAACACCCAGAGCCTTCCTTTTATGAGTCTTTATCCTCTGGTAAAAAATTTAGCCTCAAGAAGCTAAAAATGGGTCCTTTGTTATGGGGATAAGGGAAGCAGCCTTGCTAGAAACGCAGGGAATGGAGCGGTTGAACAAAGACGGTTTACGATTGTATGGCAATACAAATTTGTTGCAATTCTTTCTTCTGAAGCAGTAACTCCACTTATTGTGTCCTTTTTTGTCTCCTGACAGATCGACGGACAGGTGTACATTCAAGTAAGTTTAATAATGATGCGATCCAACTTCATACCTTGCGTTGCTGTCCAAACCGATGTCCCTTTTTTTGCATTTTGTAGGGCCCGCAGGGGCCAAAAGGTCCGCCTGGCCCTAAGGGACCAAAGGGCCCACCAGTAAGCATATGCATGATTTCGCTGATAAATATTGTATTCTTTTACTTTAAACACGTTTTATGCTTGGTGTGCTCTGTCCCTCTCTCATTTTATCAATCCCAAAAGTATAAATGTGCAGCAGCATAAAAAAAGTAAATTTAAGCAACTTCTGTCAATGCTATCTCACTTTTAATGTGCAAATTACTTAATATTTTGTGATACCAGGGCCGTGATGGTCGGCCGGGTCTACCAGGAGCCCCTGGACCTCAGGGTTCCCCAGGTCACGTTCTCCTAATGCCGGTACCTTCCCACGGCAAGAACGAGAACGTTCGAATGGCCCAGTTCCGAGCTTCCGTTCAGCAATCTGTGGTAAGTAAACTCTTGAATTGCTCTTTGCCGAATTCGTCAATTTAGCTACCTCTGCAGCTGTAATCTGACATGCTAGTCACAGAACAACGTAAGCACAGTCTGGTAGAATAGGTTAT